CTGCATTGAGAAGTATTCCTGCTTCATCCACTTTCTTTGCCATTGAGGCCCTTTATTTTTTATTTTTGGATCTCTATTAAACTGGGAACCTCACTCTTAACCTTGCAGCCCTAAATGACCCTACCAGGAGCACAAAGGGTACAAAATTCCAGATAGCATCACTTTCTAGGTCACTAGTAGCACACAAAACTCTCCACCACATTAAGGCAGTGATCCATGGGAGGAGTAATAACCCACTACAAGTACTTTTCAGACAAAAGTCAGATTTTACAGTTCTCTTGCAGGCAAAGTAAGACTAGGGAGGAGGAAGAGAGTGAAATGGGCATGGGAATAAGGAAGAAGGAAAAAACCCCTATAATCTGATCTGTCTGACTTCCCTTTATTCATCAAGGGAAGTCAGACAAAAATCACCCATACTGAGCATGTGAATTAAGCTCACAAACACAAAAAAGACCAGCTTATACATAGTCTTGCATTTAGTGACACTGAATTAGTGACAGTGTACGTTGCATTACCAGAATGCTTGGATTCAATGTTACCAGCTCTCAATTTGATCATGAGGCACATGATTTTTTTCCTTAAATCCCCTGCTCCTGAAGTCATATGAATATGCAACCCCTAAGCTTTCAGTAAAAAGTTAGTTTGTAGCTCTCCTAGCTAATAAAGTGTAAACACTTAAAATGAATCCTTAAGGATGCTGATTTTAAAACAGCTATGTAATAGGGTTGACACATTTAGGAAGGTGGAGAGACTAGTTAGTTGAAAGGTATTAAAGAGGGACTGTTCTTTAAAGTAGAAGTGCCACCTATGTAACAGTTGCAAGGTAATATTTCATGTACTTGAAATTATAGAAAAGTCAGAAAAGACTATGATGAGGAAGGTTCTATGGAGCAGCTTTACAATGAAGCAAGAAATCAGTAGTTTTAGGAATAATAGTTCCCTTAAAATAAAACCCCAGTCCAGTGTCAAAAGCAAGTGACTCTGATATCCTTTACCACTTGTTATGACAGTGGTCATACAGAATAGGTAGTGAAAACCATTTAAAATATTTTGCTCACCAAAAAGAGTAAACACTCATGTGTAACGTGGAACAGAAAGACGTGACAAACTATAATTTACTGCAATGTCCAAGTTGCATCTACTTCAGATTAAGTACAAGTTTTTCTATATGTACAACACAGAAATCTTATTTGCCAATGTCAATGTTTATACAGTCAGATGAAAATATTTTGTAAAAGGTTCCTACCGTGATTCTCTTCATATCTAGCTGTCGGAGCTGCATCATATGATGGAGAACAGTGTGTTTGTACCATGACTCCTGAGCTATTGGATTGCCATCAAGGGTGATATCTGACAAAGACGAAGAATCAGCGAGGCACAGAATATCGTCAAAACTGCACACAAGAAAGGGAATAACTTTTAAAACCACTAATTTTTTTTTCATAAAAATATTAAAAATACAAGGGAGCACTCTATATATAGCATCATACACTAAGTGTGCTACAAGTATTCCCTTCCCTCTCTGCCATCTAGTTGTAGGTTTTTAAAACAGGAAATCAAAATAAGTCAGTAGATCAAAAACTATTTCAAGCAAGATGCTAAAAAGAAATAAAAGTACAATAAAAATATTCTTGAAATTAAATTTAGTAATTTGATAACACTTGTGCTATATATATGGAAATTCTTAAAAAGGTAAAATATGTGTGTGTACTTCAGATACCCTCCACAAACAATACATATGCTAATTAGCCCCTCACTCATGACTGGAGCTGGGTGTTCTTGTCACAAGACCTAGGATCCTCCAAACATTGGTATGCAGATAAGGAGCAGAGCAACCCGCTCCAGCTCCATCTCATGACAGGCAGGGCCACACTAATCATATGCTAACACAATGGCAAGCAAAATGACCATCTTGATAGTAAGGTGGCAAAAAAAAGCAGCCTGGAAGATGTCCAAAAGAAGGCCTGAGCTATAGAAGGGTATTATTCCGATCTTAGAGAGAAGTCAGCTCTCTAACTTGGCATGTTTAAGAATGTAAGACCATACAGAATAGCTTTCTCATTTAACACGATACATCTTTTACATGGAAACATTCCTACACTGATCAAGAATTTCTTGCACCTCTGTTAAGAGCACTCTTGAGCAGATCTACACATTCTACCAGCCTCCAGGCTGTAGAGTGCAAAAACTAGGGATCTGGAAGATGTACTGACCCTCGCCAGGAGATGCTGTATTCAACTAGGAGGTAAGGTACATAGAAGATTGGTGGGACACTTAGAAAAGGTCCGATATCCAAAACTTTCTGCTTTTGGGTATCACCCTATTGTTCAGCAACTTGGTCACAGGGACTGGTGGGAAGGCACAGACATGTCCAGAAATGTCTAAAACAGAAGGCCTTGCAATTAGCATTCTTCACGGTGGCAACTAAGCCTATGTCTGAATTCCCCCACTGTCAGAATACTGAGTCTATGGTAGATTTCTGCAAAAACCATTTGTGTTGGCTGCCATATTTCTACTCAAGAATGGTCACTGCTAGAAGGTAAAGCGGAAAGGCAGTTGCCCAAAATTCACCAATTGGATGTCTTACTGACAACTTCAGGACAAAACAAGTGCTTCCCCGTTTGCTATTGTAGTAAAAAGATGAATTGTTCATTAGGATTTCCCTACAGTGCTCTGCAGGAGAGCATAAATGCTATACAAACATTCCACAAAGGCATTTTGGGATATTTATGTGTAGCTTTAAACTGTTCTGCAGCCAAATGCCTTATTATTTGAAGTTGACTCACATGTGTACTCCAAATTCACCCTGATACATAAGCAGGGGAAACATCCCTTTCATCAGCTGTCAGGAGTTTGGCCATCAACCAAGTTCTCCCAGGACTTGGGACAGCAACCAACCTGTGTGTATTTCTTGGAAAGTACATAATACCCTTAGTCGTCATTTTACAGCTACAGGTCAAATCTAGCAAATGAAATCCCTCATAGGTCTGTGCCCAAAAACTTTGTAATTGATCTTGTCTTTACATCATTAATCTGCATCTGTCCTTTGGTACAGTCACCAAGACCGAAAGTCATTTAAGGCCCCAGTGAATTCGCTCATTTACAATGGTATAAGAGATTTTTTGTGGGTCACCCAGAGCTCTAAATACAAGTAAAAGGACAGAACTCTACCTATGCCTCTCTTGCTTTCACCATGGGATCTGTGCCTGCTGAGCCAGTTGCTCCTTTTCTTTAGATACACCACTCTTGGGCAAGGAACTTTGACAACGCTTCCCATGCTGTGGAGAATGCTGGCTAGAAACGGTATTTAAAGGTTTGCTTTTTGGGAATTAGCTTGTAGCGTAATATGCATTAGAACAATGGTCCAGGGCAATGGCAAGGGTTAATTGATTTCTAAAAGCCTGTTTGTGACAGTTTCTTCAAGGCTCACTGTGTCTGACACAGGCAAGCAGCAAGCAGACACACAGGCTGGAAAACTGATGACATAGAATCATAGAATCACTGAGTGGGAAGGGACCTAGACAGATCATCTAGTCCGACCCCCTGCCATGGGCAGGAAGGAGCACTGGGGATGGCAGGGGTCATAAGACCCCAGCCAGGTGCCTGTCCAGTCTGCTCTTGAAGATTTCCAGGGAAGGTGAGAGCACCACCTCTCTGGGAAGCCTATTCCAGGCTCTGGCCACCCTTACAGTGAAGTAGTTCTTCCTAATATCTAACCTAAACCTATCCTCCCTCAGCTTGTGGCCGCTGTTCCTGGTGACTCCAAGGGGGGCCCTGGTGAACAGACTTTCCCCGAGTCCCTGCTGCTGGCCCCTGA